TCCAAATTTCTTATACGCACTCGCACAGGCGTATTCACCTTAAAAAAAAACAACTCTGTATTGTTCATTTCAGCTGTGCTCAAATGGAAGTTCGGAAAATGAAATGAGAAACTAACCGGTGGAGGGATTGGAGGTAGTGTGGACTGATGTGCTAAAGCGTCACACCCAACGCCAATATCAATGAAAACACCAAACTGAACGTGATTCACAACCACTCCATTCAACACTTGATCAACGTGCAATGAATCTACTTTCATAACATCACTCTGAAACTGTCATTTCTTCATTTTAAGACATTTCATAGACAATGCACTCACANCTTGTGAGGAGTTCCCATACAAGCGTCCATTCTGAACCTCGATCACGTATTTCTTTCTCAGCTGATAACAACTTTTGTTTCACTGTTTCAGTACCAATCTGCGACAAGTCACAACCGATTTGCGTCATCATACTGTAACAAATCAGAAACCATTATTGAATTCAAGATGGAGAATTATTTTGAGATGCTTCAATTCTAATAGAATGGACACTCAAATGAATGGTTGTTGAATGTACTTGCTTTTTAGCAATTTGATAACTTTCAGGGTGAACTGGTGTAGAGTCAAGTGGATTCGATGGGTGCGACGATGCAATTTTACGTTTCTTTTTCGACGGTTCACTAGCCGACGATTGTGAATCACTAACATAAATGAATAAAAAGCCAGCACACTGCTCAAAACTTTTCGGTCCAATACCACTGATTTCCTGCAAAAAAATAAAAAAATACTTTCACGATATTAAGTACTGACTGAATAAAACTTCACCGCATACACAGCCTGGAAGATTACGTCCTGATAAAATGAACGTAAGCATAGAAAAGTCCACGTGTAGATATTTTCGTCGTCTATCTCAGTTCTCTTCAACGCGTTCGATGAATACAACAGAGTGATCATGTTTTCGAAGTATTGCGTTAATATTACAGATCAAGCATTCCCGCAATGAGCAAACAACTAAGTACCTACCTTGAGTTCTTCCCGATTTCTGATTTTGCCGTTCTCTTGACGATATTTCACAATGCTAGCCGCAGTTTTCTTGTTCAGTCCAGAAACTCTTCTGAAAGCACAATGAATAATGCAATAGAGCACTTAAAAACTGA